TGACGCATGGACAATACTGATTCCAGACGAGATGCATTTTCGTCGTCGGTATTTCATTTTATTTTACCGCCTGTCACATGTTTCCAGAAATTAATACACTGTCCAATAAATAAATGAATATACAAAAACAACCAATTATTTTCATTTTTATTTTGCGACCGCCTGTCAGAGGTTTTCAGAAATAAAATCCGTAAACCAAGAAATAAATAATTGTGGCCTAATGACAAAACTCCAGGGAGACGTATCAGTAAAGCAGTTTCGGAAAAAAAAGTTAAGCACAATAGATGGTGGATACCACTTAAGGGAAGACACAGGTAGACAGCAGTTACGAAGATAAAGATAAGGTCGTTTGGAGGGCAGCCGGCAGCAGTGTAGCTAAGAGGACGTAGGTATTATGAATGGAGTGTTGACATTTTTGTTGTTGTTGTTGTTATTTTCAGTTCTGGTGCAGCTGATGAAATGCTAATAAGTCCTTTGGGTTTGTTCGAGTTCTGGGACTATCCGAGGAAATTATTGGTGATTAAACACGAAAATAAGAGAATACCAGATATGTTATACTGATTATATTTATTCAATCACTTCTTAAATCGAGGTAACAAAATTGTCCTTATTATCCTTGACTTTGAATAACCAAGGTAATAAAACAACTGCAAAGAAAAAGGAAACACAAACACTATGAATGTATTTAATAACAAAGCAGTACATACAATAATAACTAATACAACTAATAACTTTGTAGAAAATATGCATTTTCATTTGTAAGCGAACGAATATAAAAGAATGCTGATTATTAGGTAGGCTTTGGGAAGGGTTTAGCAAAATGAATTTACTGAACGCACTTTAACATCTGAACAAAAGTGCTTCCTGCTAGAATTGATAACTGAGCAGACGTCGAACATAGGAGAGAGAGAATGAGTGAAGGGAGAGAGAGGAAAGATAGATATATATATGTATATATATATATATATATATATATATATATATATTATATATATTATATATATATATATATATATATATATATATATATATATATGTGTGTGGTGTGTGTGTGTGTGTGTGTGTGTGTGTGTGTGTGTGTGTGTGTTGTGTGTGTGTGTGTGGGTGTATATATATATATATATATATATATATATATATATATATATATATATATATATATATAGAGAGAGAGAGAGAGAGAGAGAGAGAGAGAGAGAGAGAGAGAGAGAGAGGAGAGAGAGGAGAGAGAGAGAGAGAGAGAGAGAACAGACAGACAGACAGAGAGAGGGGGGGGGAGAGAGAGAAATGAGAGAAATAGAGGAAAGACGGAGAGTAGTATTATGTAACCATGTCATATTCGTCACAATCTTTCAGTTTGCTAATATTATGCCAGGCAAGTCCAATGGATATGCAGAAATAGATACATATGCAGCTATCTATCTGATAGATATACATTTATCTATGTACCTAATTTTTATCTGATAGATATGCATGTCTAGACTGATAGATATGTATTTATTTCTGTGCATATGCATGTCGGTATAATGAATATCTAATGGGTCGGGTCTCGCCCAACTTCCCAAACCGGCCGTAGTGCAAGAAAGCCCCTTTATTGATAGGCATTCACGCTCTTACTTGGACGGTGCCACGCCATGACCCTGAAGTAACGCAGGGGTATGGGAACTTCATGACCCAAGTGCAGAGGCAATGAGTGATAAGTTAGGGAATTCAAGTTGTGGGTCGCGGTTCCTTTGGCGACGTCCAACTTCGGAGCTCAGTGTAGAAAAGATATGGGTGAGAATGAATATCTTCACAATACAAGAGATGCATTTCACCGTTTTCGGAGTCTTCGGTAGAAATACATGAAATATATTTATTTCTGACGAAGATATTCGACACCGGTGAAATACATACCTTGTACTGTGAAGATACTCATTCTCATGCATACCTTTTCTACATTTGTCAACATGAATACGGTTCATCCGGAACTCAAGTCAGAAATTGTCAACCTTCCGACCAGAACTAGACACAAATTTCTTACTTAAGAAATAAACAAACAAACCTAGGGCGATCTTTCCCCAGCTCCTGCCCTGGGTCCAGTGTCTATAACCACCTTAACATATTGGATTTTAAAGATATGGGCGTGGTGAACATGATGAGGGCTTAGAAATATGGTGGAGGGTGTGAAATGACTGCGTTGTACATCAGCACGTTGGAGGCATAGACATGGGGTCTTGGGGGTGAGAGGTATTTGCGATGCGTTCTCACACAGGCGCTTAGAGATGTGGGCACGGGTAGGGTAGGGTGCTCTGGCGTGTTGGGCGCTAATAAATGTTAAGGCGGGATGAGTGGATTCAAGAGACAGATGCATTATATCCTCACATGTTAGGAGTCTTTTATAGCATGGTAGATTCCCTCGTAGTAAACACACGTAGTTCACCTGATACGTAACTGTTACTAGATATGATAAACAATATAAATTTTGGATACACCGGTAAATGGTTAAATATGGTAGGAGAGAGGGGTGGGGGGTCTTCTTGTGTCCCCACACATTGTTGGATTGCGGAAAGGCCCGTTCTGGATGCATTGTTTATTGAGATGGCAGAAAGTTCATTTCTCTCACACCTTCCCCATTCTTTCCTTCTCTTTCTCCTTATTTCCTCCTTCAATTTTTTCCTATCGTGGTAAGTTGAATTAAGTGACGGCTCGTGCAGAAGTCCCGGAGTGAGTGTATCAAGAATAGCCTCCTTGGAGTGTATGGGTCTAGATGACGGTCAGAGGTCATGAGTGAAGGGGGCGTGGCTAGGTCAGCAGGGCAGCGTTGCCGTGAGTACACAGCCCTCATTGGTCATCCACAGCAGTTAGAGGGCGTGGCCTTCGGAGGCATCTGACCAATCTCAGAGGACCAGCAGAGAGAGAGAGAGAGAGAGAGAGAGAGAGACAGAGACAGACAGAAAAAGGGAAAAGAAGCAAAATGCCACAGAAAAAGAAACAGAGAAGAGAGAGGGAGACAGACAGAAAGAATAAAAGAGGCAGAATTAGAAAAAAGGAGAGGCAAAAAGAGAAACCCAGAAAGAAAACGTGATCTTGATATCTAGAACCTATAATGAAGACTGAGAAAGATGGAGAAAAATTACGTGACTCACAATGTCTAAAGGTCTCTGGAGGCGAGAAGGGGACAGCTAAAGAAACTCTAATGCTTATGAAATTAGTATGATAAAAAAAATGATGATAACGAATAAGAATGATAAAAAATAAGGAAAAAATTAAATAAAAAGAAATATAGGAATAATTATCTCACATTTCACCTTCTCCATAAACTTATGTAGTATTTTTACTCATTCAAAACTCTGCGAACAAGCTTTTGTAAGAGATGTACAAGATCCGACATATATGATCAAACTTTAAACATAGATGGCTCCTCTTAATGAATGGCCTGTGTATTTCTGTCTCTCGAGAAAGACGTGAATGATGTTAATGACTGACATTTCTCTCTCTTTTTCTTTGTCTCTCTCTTTCTTTCTCTCTATCTTTCTCCCTCTCTCTCTCTCTCTTTCTCTATCTGTCTCTCTCTCTCTTTCTCTATCTCTCTCTCACTCTTTCTCTGTCTATCTCCCCCCCCCCTCTCTCTCTCTTGGTGTGTGTGTCTCTCTCTCTCTCTCTTTCTCTGTCTCTCTCTCTCTCTTTCTCTCTTTGTGTGTCTCTCTCTGTCTCTCTCCCTCTTTCTTTGCCCGTCTCTGTATGTCTGTCTCTCTCACTCTCTCTCAATCTCCTCTCTCTCTCTCTCTCTCTCTTCTCTCTCACGCCCTCCTCTCTCTCTATCTCTCACTCACTCGCTCACTCTCTCCTCTCTCTTTCTCTCTCACTCACTCTCCTCTCTCTTTCTCTCTCTCTCTCACTCACTCTCCTCTCTCTCTCTCACTCTTTCCTCTCTGTCACTCTCACTCACTCTCCTCTCTCTCTCTCACTCTCTCCTGTCTCTCACTCCCCCCCCCCCCTCTCTCTCTAGTAAGAATTACAGTAACTGCGAAATAGAAGTTACCACACTCGCTTACATTATTCTGTTTTTGTGCGTGTGTGTGTTTCGAACGATTTTCGTGGAAAATCAATTTGATAACATGAAATTACAGCTTCATGTCTTCGCAATACACAGTCAATACAATACGATAAAAAATACTTGATATCACACATTACATAATTCAATATTATATCAAAAATAATATTCTTGTGTCTTTCGTGCATCGAAAAACTCAATATGAGGATGGACCTGCAATTCTTGAGGTGACGACATATTTCTCTTTGTACTGAATTTTATTTCCTTTTTTTTCCCCTTATATTGCCACACCAATATTCCCCACCGACTGCACGACATCTTGCTCAACGTCTCAGGTGTTAGATCTCACTTCAGATCGCCCCACGTCTCTTGGGCAAAAGTCAAGAATGTGACGTCTCCCTCTCGGCGCGCTGGATTCCTTGATGTTTATAGTTTCCTTTGATGAAACATTTCACTCAAAAGGCGGTTACCTTTCTGATTATTAGCGTATGGCATGAGCTGGCGTGCAGTGCCGTGGCCACGGGGGTCCTAATTGCACGCCTGGAGAGGAACTGAAGGTAGGATTGCATTCACTGGGAATCTTGATGACACGAGGACGCTTTTCAACAGAAATTTCCAAAACGTCGGTCGGTCGCCTGCTGTCTCGGCATTTATACACGCGTCTTTTTACCCCCCCCCCCCTCCCCAAAACCATCTTTATTAATCACTGGTGACAGAAACATACCATTTGTAGTGACTGTACCGCTGACAATTCATTTAGGAATTTTGAAGCACTGATTGCTTTATCTTACGGATTATTTTTCGGCATTTCTTCCCTAACCTAATATATCTATGGAAATAATGGCATTCTGTTTACCACGTAGAATGTACAAAGACGACCAACTTTCTTCTCTCTCTCCTTCTTACTACATAATACTACTTTGCGCCTTGCCTGCTGCTAACGACACAATCCTCAAGCACTTACTAGTACCAAGGCGGGCACAAGTAGGACTATGATGCTATTTGGAGCAATCATGGCGAAGTGGCCAGCCCTGACAGCACAAGGAGCACAGACTTAGTGGGACTCTGATGCTCGCCCCCGACGAGAAGCTCAACCAAGTAACCTCCGCGCTGC